CCCCAACTGCCTTTGAGCTGTGACTCGCCTTTTGGAGAGGTCACACACCCCTCTGGCATTGTTTAACAAACTAAAACTGGAAGTGGGCTTTCCGTCACTGTACGTTTCATTCTTTTGCCTCCACTTTGGGTTAGCATTTATTGGCAATTTGTGCACCCCAAGGAGGAACTCCATGGAGGAACTCTATGGCAGAAAATTGGCCCCTGGGAATGACCCAAGATGGCCCCACCCTCCCCGGCCAGAAGAGAAAAGATGTATGCTGAGCAGAAGAACATGCTTTCAGTTCTGCTTCTCTTGTGCCACCTTCCACAGGCAGGCAGTCTGGTTCCTTCCTTCCCTCCAAAAAATCTCAATTCACAGTTTATATTTCATAGTGGAGAAATTCCTCATTTATCAGTCTATCAAGTTGTTTCAATGGCAGGTGTTCCTTTTCTCACTTAGATTCATTTATGTCTTTGGGTGTGGCATTTGGGCATACCAATTCTTTTTCTCCAGATTTCAGAAATGTTCCCTTGCAGCACAATTCCCAGAATCCCTCTAAGATGAAAGTCCAACTCAATGTAGAAACTGAGGCTGTCCTATTTTGAGCACATCACAAGAGTCTATGAAGACAAAAATGCTGGGAAAGGTAAAAAACAGCAGGAAAGAGAAAGATTAAAAATGAGGTATATTATTCCCTAAAAGAAGCCATAGGTTTCAGTTTACAACAGCTGAGTTGAAGACAGGATGTTTTGGAGATTGCTCATTTATGGGGTCTTCTTAAGTCAGAGGTGACTTTGTTTCTGGCCAAATCTGGGTTCAGGTTTCTGGCAAGGACAATCAGGCTAAGATGCAAGGCAGCTGAACAATAAGCCAATTTTATTGAAGTACAAAAGTTCAGCTGGGCCTCCCATCCTAAAAGCAGAGGGAGACCCAGAACAAAGAGTGAACCAATATTTTATAATGGTTACAGACAAAGAGCCAAAAAGTACTACATTGCTATTGGTCATCTGAACCCCAACTTTTGGATCTCAGCCTTGATTGGACTTCAGATATTTCTGCAGTTGACCTATTGGTTAAGGGAAAATATACATTTTCTGCCCTGACCTCATCTCCGGGATGCGCTGTGCAGTCTGGGTGTAATGGCAACTATCCCGCTTGTTTTGACATATAAAGCCCTAAACGGCTTGGGCCCTGGATACCTGAAGGACCGCCTCCTTCCATATGAGCCTACCCGGCAGTTAAGATCTACCCAGGGGGCCTTTTTGAAAGAGCCATCCCTTAAGGAGATAAGAGGGAGGGCTTGTAGAGAAAGGGCCTTTTCGGCAGCTGCCCCCAGACTATGGAATGCCCTCCCGACTGAAATTCGTCTGGCACCGACGCTGATGACATTTCGGCACCACGTCAAAACCTTCCTGTTCCAGAAGGTTTTTAATTGAAATAACATAAACTGTGGGTCCTGCTGGCAAGTTTAATTGTATTTTAATCATTTTATCTTTTATTGTATTTTAATTGAATTTTAATTGTTGTAAGCTGCCCAGAGACCTTTGGGTAGAGTGGGTGGCATATAAGTTAAATAAAATAAATAAATAAATAAATTGATATGTTTGTGTATGTTGGTAATGTTTCTTCCTGAGTTCTCTGTCCTGCCCTTCAAAGAGCGTAATTCAAGATTATTTGTCATCTCTGGCCTTCCTGCACTTTTGCATTATAATGGCCCAGCTATCTGGCCATACTTTACCTAAATGTCAACTCCTGGTGTAGGATAAAACGTCTCATTGTTGATTTAGATGGCCCACGGATAGGCCATAAAGACTCTATCAGGTATGGCCATCTCTGTAGGCCTGAATGGTCTTTGTTATCCCCAGGCAGAGGGGTTTTGTAAATGTGGGCTACGTGACCATCTTGGGAAGGCATACCTTAGGACCGTTGCAGAAATACAAAGTGTAGTAAAAATAGAAGTATGCAGTACAAGTATAAAGTACATTTGAGACAAGGTACATCTTTTGTGGTATAGATACAGAGCATAGATACAGAGCAGTATTTATGTTTTGCAGGTACATAGAGAAATTTCCATGAAGTTTCCAAGTGTTGTCAGCACATATGATTCTAACAGTTGTATTAAAATACAGTTTCAGTATCCTCCCGTATCAAGCTGGTGGCACATAACAACACAGTCCAAAAAAGGAATGCTCACCTTCTCTGCCTTAACCTTCCTCTGTAGTTCAAGATCCCTATTGCACATTTTCCTGAAAATATGAAGTTGCTTTTGTCTTTGTCCTTTTTTGCATCACCTATGAGTTTTAGAAGAGAATTATTTGAACAGCGGTGGGACTTGTTTGCAAGTCAGATTCACTGAATTGGACACCAAACAGTTAAAAATATATCTTAAGAACTAGGTATTCACAAGGCAACCAAACATCAAATAAATACACCCTAGGGCTCAAAGTGCTCCTTCTGATACCATCAAAGGGGGGGCAGTGTCTCTAGCAAAATACGGACTCCGCTGTTCAATAACTCCAGTGCATCTTGAGAGCAGCGAAGAAGAATGAGTGTTACAGAAGACACAGAAACTATTAGAACCTTGTTTTGGCAGCAGCATGGCTTTCTCATGTCAAAGGTAGGAGCCATGGGCAATCCCCATACAGATATTAAAGCCTGCAATGACGTTTAAAGCTTCAACTTGTTCGTGAGTGTCTGAAATTTTTTTAAAAAACTATTTTCTGGACCCAATTCATTAAATATTAGCAGATGATTTCTCTTGTTCAAATGTTAGCTAGTTCTTGTTCTCACCACAAGTGAAGTCAGAATGAAGCAGACAGGAATACTGCATTAAAATGATGTGCTTTTTAAAAGGTACTGGATAAAAATTTTGGAGAATTAAACACCAACTAATTCATGTTGCTTCGCGAAGGCTCTGAAGCATTTCGACCCCCATTACTTTTGTCATTTTACTGTTTGTGTAGAGTGGGCTTAAATTTGCACTGTTATCATTCAATAGGCAGGCAGGTCTTTTTTAAAAAAATCACAGGCGTCCTATCCTGTCAAGAACTGAAACTTCATATAGCAGTTCCATTGAAGATTTCAGTAAGAGCCTGATTGGAACTGCTTTGTTTTGAATAAGGCCCACCAGGACACCCCAAACACAGTAATGGACAAAACGTTCCCTGGCTTCCTTCTTCCTTCAGAAACGTCAG